ACAAGGCAGGCAGCCTCCTAATAAAAGCCACAGCCTTGTATAAGCAGACAAGTCAATATGCAACTACTGCCATGTCCATAATACTACAGAAGTTAGGTGTCTGCAATCACCTGGGAGAGAACAAGGGAGCAAAGAGGCAGGTGCTGTCCAAGTGCCCTCTCACCATAATTACAATTAATAAAGCTTCATTAACTTTGCAGTCCCTATATTCTCTGACAAAACCAACCAAGATGAAAGATGTAGTTCTGTGATTAAAATTATACCCAAAAGTCAGGAAATCTTAAGTTAAAGATCTCAGAATCTCCTAGGTGACCTCTGTAAATATCAAGCCTAGACATCAAGCAATGTACCAACTCAATCACTCACCTGTTGACCCCATGCTGACTTCAAAGCCTGAAACGTCTCTACATTACCACTGTTGAAGGCATAAAGCGTATCAATCAGCCACTGCCGATCAGTGCTTCTCAGGGACTCCAGAACAGGGTGCATGAGCTGTAGGATATATGCAAAACATTGTTAAAAGGATAAAATCAACTCTTACTACTCAACAGCAGAAAGAAAAGTAGCATCCCTTACCAGCTCTCCAAAGTTATAAACACCTTCTCCCAGGAGCCCTGCCAGCCCCAGGGTAAAGGCTCTCTCCTGCTGCTCTGATACTGTAGAAAGAAAAAAACCATACAAACAACACCAAAATGTCAACAAACATGTGCTTGGAGCAGCAGACTAAGTCCCATTAGCCTTTCCCTCACTTTCTTCTCTGTCCGTATTATATTATCTGCAGCCCTTCTCCCTTTCCATTCTCATGCTTGAAATTCAGAAACTTGCAACAAGCACAGGAGTGTAAAAGAAAAAAACAGAGAGGCTTTTTTTGAACCTATACTGAAGATTTTGGGAACTAGAACAAACTATCTCTCTTGGTAGGAGCATTATGCCCTGCCTCCATCACCTCAATTCACTTAGAAGCAGAATCCTACTCATTCTTCACGTGTTTCCTAACCGCCTCCCTCTTCCCTGCTTTCTTTCTAGGTAGGTCCTAAGCCAACAATACACTCAAAACAAAGCCAAGAAAACCTGTGCATTTATTTAGTTTGAAGTGATAGAACGGAGAGTGAAGTTGAGGCTCTCTTTGCTAAGCAAAGGAAGAGTTACCCGGCAGATCTTTAACATCGATGCACCCCAGAAACCGCAGCGCATCCTTGTAGTACGAGGCGTGGTTCCCAATCGTCTGGTAGTACTTGCTGGAGAGATCATAGAAGCGGCTATGAACTGAAGTCACCCCAGGGAGATTGTTCAGCATCTCCTCAACCTCCTCAATGGTCTCCTAGTAAGCGGAAAACTTGTTTGTTACATAAGGTACACTTCATGCACATCCCCTCCCTATCCTTCCAGTTTATCGTTAAGGGTTATCATATCTGTTCTGCAAGTCACATCCATTCAGTAGTAAGAACAGATGAGACCACAGCCAAAGCCACTACCATGGTATTAAAAATAAAGTAATGGCATTTTTCCTCTAAAATAAAAAAAGCAAAAAAACCAACACCACACACACAAAAACACCCCAAACTCCATCTATATAATACTTAATACCATAATCCTTCAAAATATTTGAACTTGCAAAAGGCTCAAGCAGAACTGCATGGAAAACCCTAAACTTCAAAGATGGTTCTCAGAATCTTCCTGAAAATTCATTGGCTGCAAGCACTACACCCACATTTTTATGGCTTAAGAGACAGAGAGCAGAACTGCAGGTCTTCCTGGAAGTCCTAGGAGCTGCGTATCTACGATCATCTCATTCACAACTGAAGCACAGGCGCAGGCACACCCACTACTGAACTCATCACTGAGCTCCAAACTAGTTGAGTACTTGTACAACTCTAGCTACCACCTCACCTTTGTCACCTGCAGGTCTCCAATGTTCAGCTTCAGTGCTCCAATGGCCGTTTTACACAGAATGACAGCTTCATCACTGCTTTTTACCTGTAGTTACAGAAACCCATACTTGAGTGTTTCCATTCCAGTCAGGACAGCTCTTGAAACCCAAACCCCGTTATACTTCACTTGTTAACAAGCTACAGCATTGGAACACAGGTGTTCACTCTAAGGATTCTCCACCATAGTCTCAACATAAAGACATGTCTTTCCAGCTGTTTCGTATTTGAAATACACATTACCATTCACATAGGTGAGCAACTAGGAAGGGTGATCTCAAAAATACCTTTTCTCGAGTCTTTTCCAGAAAGGTAAGGGCCACAGTGGGATCTGCAACAACAACAACAAAACCCTCAGAAATTCCTCTAAATTAACCTAGGTGTAAATCCTTTACCTAAATTCAAGAATTTTTTCTTATAGCATATTGTCCAAACTTCTAAAGCTGCTACCATCTGTAAGCCAGGCTTTCTGCACATTAGCTGATTTCTCAGCTGAGCAATGATACTGATGCTGTTACACAGCACTAATTACTCAAACTCTTAGCACTGGTGCTTTCCTTTTTCCACACACAAGGAAGACAATAGCTCAGCACTGAAGTTTTAGCTGTTACTACTACCTAGTTTCATGGACATCACTGCTTAAAAATGCTGTAAGCAAAGGGTGAGGTCACTTACCTGTCATCTGCCTGACTACATGAAGAATGATCTCTACAAGGGACAGGGGATTCACCCTAGAATGAAGAACCCATTGTCAGAGCAGTAGTTGTCAGCAGTGGGCTATCCAAAAACTTCCAGGCAAACAAACTCACCTGTGTTCAAATTCGCTGATAAAGTTCTCATAAAGCTGTGGGTACAAAGATATGAACAGTCAGGGAAAACAGATATTTTGCTTTATCCACAACATTCACTTCCTCATTGTATTCCCATACATTCTTCCAATAAAGTAGGGAGCAGGAAAGAGCTATGTCATGCAAAATACAGGATCCAAAAATGGCTTTTTTTGTGATAATTCTATCCATTCAGTATCCTCCCACCTGGAAGGGGTGATTTATGAACTTTATAAGCTAGCAGATACTGAAACACAATGCCTCTCTGCAGACCAGCCTGGTGCTTGCTTTCTACTACCAATGCACACATAGCACAGGCATAAACATTTCAAAACTCCCTGCACACATTCTAACCCCTTCACACACATTCCTTCAACTAGAAACTAGTGGCTCTTCATCAAGGAAGCAATTGCCTCATGGGAAACTGATTTTAAAAGAGACACAAAGGAAAGTGAGGAAAGAAGGAATGCTCACTTGTAACACACAGAGGATATGAGTAAGCCCCTATCTTCATGAAGGAAGAACCTGACAAAGCATGGGTGAACTACTGCATACAATGCTCTGTAACTACTATTTATACTGCAGCCAGCCTATCCTGTATTTGCAACAGTAAACCACCCTATTCCAAAAGGGAAAGAAAAAGACACTACACCCCCTGTCCAAAATCTGGACTGAATGAAATCACGATAACGTTAATTTGAGGCTCGCTACACAGCACACTTAATCTTTGCACACTTCCAAAAGAGCTACCCAAATCCCCACACACTTGCATCTGCTTCACAAACTCCTCCCAGGTAAGTTTCTCTAGTTCAGTGTTTCTCCTGAGATAAGTCACAGAGCACTTAGTTTCGCTAGCAGGAAAATACCATCACTCATCTTTGTCACAGAAAGGGGAACAAAGGCTCATAGATAGCTGAGCACCTCACCTTGATGAGTCCATCTCCTTGGGCAAAGCAAGGGTCCTGCACAAAATCCAAAACTTGCAGCGTCAGCTGGTGCCAGAGCCTTCAAAACACAGAATCACAGAACTATGAAGATTGGAAAAGGCCTCTGAAATCAAGTCCAACTCCAACCCATACCTATCATGTCCAATGACCCTCAGTGCCACATCTCTGTAGTTCTCAAACATCCCCAGGGGCGGTGACTGCACCACCTCCTCAGGCAGCCTGTGCCTCTGCATCTCTGCTCTTTACAAGAAGAAATGTTTCCTAACATCCAACCTGATCCTGCCCTGGTGCAACTTGACGCTGTCACCTTTAGTCCTATCACCATTACCTGGGAGAAGAGGCCAATTCCCACCCACTTCCACAACCTCCTATCAGGCAGTTATTAGGACTGATAAGGTTTCCCCTGAGTCTCCTCTGCTCCAGACTTAACCATCCCAACTCCCCCAGCCGCTCCCCATAAGACATGTGTTCCAGACCCCTCACAGCCCCACTGCCCTTCTTTGGGCACACTCCAAGACCTTTATGTCTTTATGGTAGTGATGGACCAAACTCTGGGCACAGCACTCAAGGTGTGGCCACGACAGAAGTGAGTACAAGAGGACGATCAGCTCATACTCCAGCTGGCCAGGCTACTACGGACACAAGCCAGGAAGCCGTTGGCCTCGGCCACCTGGGCACGCTGCCTGCTCACGTTCAGCAGCCGCTGTCAGTTAACCCCCAGACGCTTTTCCCCCCGTGCAGCTTTCAGTCACTACCCCCGGAGCAACACCCGGGGCCACGCACAAGCAGGGCATCCCGCAAGCTCACACTGACACCAGCCCCGCGGTTCGGGGACGAGACACAGCGGTGACCTCACCACGCCGAACAGGGACTCCCCGGGCGAACGACCGCAGCACCGTGGAGGAACACGGAAAGCATCCCCTGCCGTCCCCCCGCGCCTTACCCGCAGCGCTAACCGAGCCGCCCCCGCTGCCCCTTTTCCCACCCGGAGCCTAGCACCCCGAGGCGGACCCCCGCAGCCACCTCGGGGCGATCCCGCGGAGCCCCCCCCGACGCTCACTTCTTATTGTAGAGCTCCTCCAGGCGGTGCCACACGGCGGCCTGCCCAGGCCCCGCGCTCTGGCTCTGCTGCAGGAAGCCCGGCACGTCCTTCATGGCGGCGGCGACCGCAGCGGGCAGCGACGCCGAGCCCCGGGCCGCCCTCACCGGAAATGCACACTCACTTCCGGCGCGGCGCAGGGCACGCTGGGCACCGTGAGGCCTCGCGTTGTCCGTCCCCCCCGCACACTTCCCCTCCCCCCCTACCCCGCCCCCCGTAACCATGGCAACGGGGCCATGGAGCGGGGGGTTCGGCGCGGAGCGGCACTGGTGGCGGGTGAGGGGAGGGAGTGGGCCCTGATGGGTGCTGGGGGGAGCCTGCGTGGAAGGGACAGGGGCTGAGGGTATGGGGAGGAGCTGGGGTAAGGGAGCAGGGCCGGAGGGGAGCCTGAGTAAGGAGTAAGGGGCTGGGCTCTGAGAGGGAGCTGAGAGGAGAAAGTGGGGTTTGGGGCAGGCCGAGGGAGCCTCCTCTTCGCATTTTGCTGTCTCCGTTTCTTCCTTGAATCGCAGTCCGCTGAGTGTGTTTTCTTGCAGCGTGGAGGAACCTGTGGGAGCGTGGTGGCCCGGCTCGGTTCCGCCCTCAGTGCAGGACTGGCTGTGGGGCATGCAGGTAGGGCTGGATGGTTTCGTGCAGCCCTGGTGCGGAGAGCCTCACCTCTCCTGTCTGAACAGACACGTGGGCCTGCGTGTCTTTGAGTCTGAGCTGGGGATTGCAGCTGGGAGCTCAGAAACAAAGCGCAGAGAAATGTTAATGTTTGCCAGGTTGTGAATTTAGCTCTGTGGGGATCTGACCTGGCACGGCAGAACCGTGTCCTAGTGGTGTCAGTGTCAGTCACACTGAGCACAACGTTAGGACATAGTAATTGCTGTTTGCAGATTGCCAGGATCCAGCAGCTCTTGGCTCTTCACATTCCCATGCCTCGCCTGGACTGCTTTTAATATCCTGCTGCAGCAAGCACTCATTGTCTAGGGAGAAAGTGTTCCTTAGATAATAATGGGTGTTCTGAGCCCCATCTGTACTCACTGCTGACCTGCAGTTCCTGTACTTTCCAGCTGTTCATGGAGCTCTCCCACGGCAGAGTCCTTTGGGGGGAAGTAGAGAACTGGTGAAATGTCTGTTCTAACCCAGGCAGTGCTGTTTTCCAGAGTGACCACAGCACCCTGTTAGAAGCTTCCTGAAACCCAAAGCATAGAAAACAGTATTGTAAATAATATGTGAGACCTGAGTCCCTGAGCATGGTTCCCACAGTCCTATGTCTACTCCCTGCAGAAAAAAAAAAACAACAACCTTCTTATAGGGAAATTTGGTGTGTTTTAGCATTGGGTGTTTTTAAGGTCTTCTAAAATCAGTGCAATGCAAAGCATCTTTTTTGAGAGTAGACTAATGCTTAAGCTTTGTCCTCATTGATTATATACTAATACAGTCTTGCAGATTGAAGAGCGTTCTGCAGCATTCTTGGTGTGGTTCTCCCCCAGGTCCACTGAGCAGCTCTTTCAGCTGAAGTCTCTCACCAGGCAACCTACTGTGCTTTCCCTCTTCCAAACAGGGTACAAGGGAACAGGTCCTTCTCTCAATCTGCTGCTGCCAGTGCTGTTTTGGGACTGGGCAGTTGGGGAGGTGACAGTGGGAAGCAGAAGCTCACCCTGCAGGATGTGGCGGAGCTCATTCGGAAGAAGGAGTGTCATCGAGTAGTGGTGATGGCCGGTGCAGGGATTAGCACCCCCAGCGGGATCCCAGACTTCAGGTAGTGCCTTCATTGTTTTATATCCTTGTTTAATATTGGGACTACCAGGTTCTTCAGCCTAGGCCAAGGACCTGGCTCTCTGCTCTTTTGTGTCTTGGCGTGGTGTGTGGCTTTCCCCCTGTGTTCTGACTGCCTGCCTTCCTTGCCTCTCTGCAGGTCCCCAGGGAGCGGCCTCTATAGTAACCTTGAGCAGTACAGCATCCCTTATCCCGAAGCCATCTTTGAACTGGCCTACTTCTTCATCAACCCCAAGCCATTTTTCACTTTGGCCAAGGAGCTCTACCCTGGCAATTATAGACCCAACTATGCTCACTATTTCCTGAGACTCCTGCATGACAAAGGGCTCCTTCTGCGTCTCTATACTCAGAATATTGATGGGCTGGAGCGAGGTGAGTTTTCTCCAGCTCTCAGCAGTACAGTACCAGAAAAAGATGAGGATGAGAAACAGAACAGGAGAACTGGGGAAATGCCTGTTGAAGATGGAGTTTCTGGTTCAGTCACCTCATGCTGAGCTGATCCTCTCCCACCTGCTGTGTTCCAGTTGCTGGGATCCCTCCTGATAGACTGGTGGAAGCCCACGGCACTTTTGCTACTGCCACGTGCACAGTCTGTCGGAGGAAATTCCCAGGAGAGGACTTCAGGGTGAGTGACTGCAGCTGGGCACTGACACGAAGTAATGTTACTGGGAGGGTCCAACATGGTTGTGACCCTGCTTGTGTGTATATGTGCTGCCCCATATCAACTAGCATTGGGTACTTTTACTTCAGGGGGACGTTATGGCAGACAAGGTCCCTCACTGTCGCGTCTGCACCGGAATCGTCAAGCCTGACATCGTGTTCTTTGGCGAGGAGCTCCCGCAGCGCTTCTTCCTGCACTTGACAGACTTCCCCATGGCAGACCTGCTTTTTGTCATCGGAACGTCCCTGGAGGTATGGGACTAGGGGATGTCCTTGTTTACAAGGAAAAAAGGGCCCGAGGTGCTCTGGAGGAGAGAGAGGGGTTACAGAAGGCAAGAAACTGGGTTATCTAGGTAAAATTGGAGGTAGCGGGAAGCAGGGTGTATGCACTCAGAGGCAGTATGAAAACTTTAAGTGCTCCTGGTGAAGGTGGGCACCTGGAATGGAAGAAGTAATTTTTGCAGCAACCTGAGGCCATGGGATAACTGGCAACATCCATAACCAGTTCAAAGCTGGGATAGCTTAGCCCATGGTGGGAGAACTTGTTAAGCACGAACCCAGCAGTCTGAAATCTCTGAAATGCAGCACGTAATGAATTGATCCCTGCAGCGGGGTGACCACCTTTCTCTCTGCTCTGCCGGGTTGCCTCCCTCTAGGTGGAGCCCTTTGCCAGCCTGGCAGGAGCTGTTCGCAACTCCGTTCCCCGGGTCCTCATCAACCGAGATCTTGTAGGACCGTTTGCCTGGCAGCAACGTTACAATGACATAGCCCAGCTGGAGGATGTGGTCACTGGGGTCAAGAAGCTCGTGGAATTGCTGGACTGGAACGAAGAGATGCAAACACTAATTCAGAAAGAAAAAGAAAAGGTGGGAAGGAGCTCGGTGCCCCATCTCTTTCTCTTGGCCTCCATTCCTGGTGCTTGAGTTATCTTGGGGGGGATGCAGGCAGTGTTTGCTGGGATTAGAGACTTGCACCACAGGCATTGCCACGCTCACAGTCAGCACTCAGAGAAAAGAACCAGAGAAAAGTGCAGGAGGGTTAAAAAAGCAAACAGCAGTGGTATTTTGCAATGGGGGCAGGCACAGTGCCACAGAGCAGACTGCTGTATTGCTAAACGTTTCAGTGGGCAGAAGGGGAGGACAGAGCTGCCAGCCTCAGAGGAAACAGGAAAAATGTGGAAAATGCCAAACTCAGAGTTGAGCGTGAGTGCTTTAAGGCATCGTCAAGTGGTAACATGCTTGATTACTGAAAAGCTGTGGCTTTCAGCTGCTTATTTATTTATTCCCAAATGGAACACACCATATAGATTTAAGGACAGTAGCCCAGAGTCACAGGCAAAAAAAAAAAAAGTTATGTTAATCCAGTCCAATCTTGTAAGGCAGTAGAGGACTTGGTTTTTATAGTGCTTAGCCCTGCCTGTGAGCCTGAGATGCTGTTAATGCTACCTGCTTTAATGGGAGTAACTGCTCAACTAAACAGGGAGCCAAGCATCACCTTAGCAGAGTACTCTTTCAGTACATTCACCTAATTGCTTTGGTTTCATTTAATGCTTGTGCTGTTCTAAGCCACAGATGGATGGACAAAGCTAGTGCAAGTGTTGCAAAGCATGAAAAAACCTCCTTGCTTTGGGATTTTGGTGCAGCATCACTGACTGAGCTAGTGGGGGGTGGGAGGTTTGAAACACCCAAGCAAACACTGTGGTCTTTATTTTTAGCTGGACGCAAAAGACCAATAGGACAGCTGGCTCCCTGCTGCTGGAAAGCTGTGTTCATCCTGAAGAGAAGGAGATGTTGTCATGCCCAGCATGAGCAAAGAAAGAGGCAATAGCAGGGAGCTGTGGAAAAGTCCATCCAGGTCTGCAGCAGGAAATCTACATAGGACTGGCATTTGGAAAAAGGAGGATGCTCATGGCTCATTCCAGCCAGCCTGGAAGCAGTGACACCCTGTCACCCACGAAGGAAGGGAAGCTGAAAGGAGCACAGCCCCACTGCCAAGCTACAGTTTCCACATGTGAAGGCTTTTCTATCTGAGACTTCAAAACATTTGATGTAGCCGCTGAAGGTTGTTCCTCCTCACCTTACCTCATTTCGGCACCCATTAGGAGATACCTTACTCCTGCGTGGCTCTGTCTCTGTCAAAGCACCATCTGACAATGTCCAGCCATGAGTTTCACCAGCATGTCAGATGAGATGTGCTGGTGCACAGCTCTTCCTCAGATACTTTGTTCTTAGTCATGAGCTGCCAGCTGCTGCAGATTGGTAACGTTTAGTCTTTGGATGAAACCTGCTGATCAGGAGATGATTGCTGTTAATGTGCCTGGCCTGTTCCTGTTCAGAAAGGCCAGCTCAACCGCTAAGAATTATCAGGGTAGGGGCGATTATTAATAATAAAGAGTTACAACTATTTTGCTGATGCCAGCAGAGAGTTTTTTCTGTAAGTTTCACACAGTCCCTTGTGCTTGAGTACATACTGTCCCAACAAAATACATAGGTGTCTTACTAATACAACACTGGACACTCCTTAACTTCTCTGCTCTACAAAGCAGCCTCCAAAAGCTGTATAAATGGCTGTCTGTATAATTACAAGTCTTTAGACCTAATACACAGCTGGTGTACATCCAACAGCTCTAGGGACACTATTGAAGTCTGGCGCAGCTACAGGAACAGAGACTTCCATGCTTTGTGTCCTAGCAGCTTCCTAAAAGAAAGGTTTGAACAAACGTGCATTCAGAGAAACAAGCTCATTTATCCAAAAGCACAATTCAAATACATCTGTGTGGTCCTCACAAGTGGGATCTCAGCAGATCTGAACGTGCAGCATCAGGGAAAGCAGAGGGGCTGTTGCTACTTTAGAGTGATGTGATTTTTGCAGAATTTTAATCACTACTGCTAAAAATACCATCATCCCTGATAAACTAGCACTGCAGTTACAAAGCACACCTTCAGCTTCTCAAAGAGACAGCCTTTCACAGTTCTTACCACCACCTGGGCCAGACCAACCACAAACCTCTGATGCAGCCCCTGGCCACACATCTGCAGCCTCCCAGCCCCAGACATCTTGGGTGTCCCAACAGCCTCTCCAGGCTACCTTGTCCCCAGAGACCTACTGCTGCCTGGGGCTGTCAGAAACCAGGCAATCATCCAGGTTGGCTCATGTCCTGCTGCAAAGGCCAAGCAGCAAATTCTTATTCCACAGAGGGAGAACAGCTGGTGTGGATGGTTTTTACAGAGCATTTGCAAAGGAGATGAGCAGTCCTGTAAACAGCTGCTTGCTGTGAGGCACAAAGAGCAAGTCAGTAACATTAAAAGCCTAAAAGTATGTTAACAGCAAGAGAAGGGTTAAGGAAAACACAGGACAGGTCCTTGGTGGAGATGGTCACCTAGCAATCAAGGATGAGAAAGAGACAGAGGTATTTCATGCTCTTTTTGCCTCACTTTTTAGTATTTGTGATACATCTTGAGCTGTCCAGCCCTTTAGGTTGGAGGACCACAACTGAGGAGCAGTGGCATTCCATTTGGCCACATATGGCTCCAGATGTATCAGCTCAGCATTTATCAGTCTGTGGGATTTACCTCAGAGCACAGAAGGAGCTGAATCTCTCTCAACAATTCACCAAAGATCTTGGGAACCTGGGGAGGTCCCTGAGGCTGAAAGTTGGACAGCGTTATCCTGAGTTGTGAGAAGAGCATGAGAGAAGACCCAGGAAGCTACAGACCTATCTGTCCAATCTGTCTCTGGAGAAGTTATGGAGACTATTATCCTGGGTGCTACTGAAAGGTAATTAAAGAACAAACCTGTTAACGGGCATAGGCAGCATGGGTTCATCACAGAAAGGCCCTGTCTTGGTAAAGTGATCTGCTACCACTTATTTGGTGGATGAAAGAAATGTGGTGGTACTGCTTTCTGGAAGGAGTCTTTCTGGCTTTTACCCTTCAGGGCACTGTTTTGGGGTAGAACCACATGCCAATCGGAAGATGATCCTTCCTTGCTTGTTCAGAACTCGTTCAATGAAATCACTGCCATGCACCCATTTGTCAGAAGGTTTTCTTTATTCTAGCATCACATTTGCATTCCTACTTGTTAGTTACATTTTGGAACTCCTGGTACAAGACAAACTAGATTTTCTTTAAAAAGGAAAAAAAAAAATACATAAAAGAAATGTAAGCCATAGCAGAGGACCAATAGCAGCCCCTGGGTGCAAACAGCAGCAAGTCTGTGGGAAAGCTGAGGAAGGTGAGGAGGTCAGCACACACAGACCCTATTCCAATCTTTCAATCATTGTAAGATGGGGAAGGGTAAGAGCACTGCTAACTAATCTCTGTGGTAACAGGAGGTTGCACAGTACCACAGACAAAATATCAGAGCATTTCTGGCAGTCGTCACAAGTTCCTTTCCTGCAGACAACAGAAGTGTCTCAAAGTCCCCCCCCCCTCCTGCCTGCCCCAAAGCACACACACCATGCTCCCCACAGCACTCATATACATCCACACAATCCTGTTTGCACAGATGTCATAATGCTTACTGCCACATGCAGCACATCCACACTTACTGCTCATGACAAGGGTACACTATGCTGAGGCATCCCACAGGCTGTATTCCCTGCAACATCCACTCTTGTCTGCAGTCCCACCTGCATTCCTGGAGAACAGCTCCCCTGTGCAGGGCTGACCACACATGGGGACACACACGCTGATACACAGCCACACAAATACCAGCACG